ACACCCGTTGGCGCTTGGGGGTGTGGTCTGGGGGAAAATGAGATTTTCACTGAAATTGAATCTGTGGATGAAATACGGTGAAATTAAGTGTTCTCGCGACATATGTAGTGGGAGTGGTTGGAGTGAAGTGAGTCTGAAGCTACTTCCTCATGTGCTCTTACGACGGTTTATTCATGCTTATCAAACGTAACCCAATTTTTCACGATTCTTCCACATGTAATGGATTATAGATAAAGGATTGTTTAAATATTTTCGCAAAACCTTGCCCGAAACCATTACATCCATTACATTCTTGATGGTTGGAATTTTACCCAAAAATTATATACTTTCACATTGAACATGTTTACTTCCGACTTGAATAATTCACCTGGATTACCAGTGAGGTAACATGTTTGGTTGGTCAAATTCTTACCAACTTAGTTGGCTGTAGAAACCTAAACATTGTGATTAATATGTGACGACTATTCATAAAATTAGTGCTTTTATGACACACCGGTATTGTATAATGCATTTTATAATCAACATAACCGTATTTCATAATAAGACTTACAGATTTGAGTTCAATAAGATTTATTTGTTAATTTTGCACAAGCAGGTTCGTTTGGGTCTTTAGCACTGCTTACACAGGTTAAACTGTTTGGCAGGTTAAATCCTACAACTCAAGAGGTCCCTTATATATCCATCATTACGGACCGTGCATGCAAAATGTCATCGATTTGAAATGTGTTTCAAGCAAAGCATCACAAACTTATTGAACAGTGCCATACATATGTATTTTATCAAAATTTTAAACAATTCCAGGTCACTTAGACTTGCAAATAATGAAATCGAATTCAATAAATTCATCAAGCATTTTGGCCCCGACATTTTAATTCTTCCAGAGACGTGGACCTGTTTACTTAAGACATTAAAGCATTAATCGTGTAGTCCGTAACACTCACGTAGTACGTTGTTTTTGTCGATTTTTTTAGCATGAAAAACCTAAATTCTCCACTACCCACCCCGATGCCCACAGGTCTCAAGGCGCCCCCCATTTTCTCCTCGTATTTCATCGTGCCCCGTCTTAGTTTTAACCTCTTTCTCCACGTCAACAACAATTTTCTACTCGTCTCATGACACGCGATCCCAAACGGGAGCATAATCATAATTCCAATCTTTGCTACGAGCGACCCAACAGGAAACACAAGATTGAACGGGATGGGAATTACTCGGTACATTCTAACGCTTACGTAATTGCAGGTAATCGTAAACACGAACCCGAACGAGAGCAATAATGATGCTAGAGCGCTGGACATCGTCTCCATGGTCTTGTTCAGTATGCGAAACCTTTGATACAATTGGATCGACTGCTTATTGGGACTCATCCGTGCTAAATTATTTAGCGAAATGATCATCATATTTAAAACTGCCGCGCCAGTAATTACGGCCCCAACGATGGACGCAGTACTGTGGAAAGAAAGCCAGCCGTAGTACATCGTCAATAGTAGAAAGGTGGTAGATCTGCAAATAAAATATGTTTCCAGGGGACAATTTGTGTTCGCTGGTGTGAATTCAAAGTGGGAAATTTTGTCGCCAAGGGTCATATTTGCGACAAAGATGGCATACAGGAAGGGCAGGGTGGCAGAGATGATGATCAATGTGGATAGAAGGATGGTAACCTTATCCCATTTCCTTCCACGAGCTGGAGGAAGTTCTATCAAAAATCAGGACAACCAATCAACCAAAAGTTTAAATGCATATGAAGCAGTATTAAATTCATTCTTATTCGGATGAGAGCAGGTGTATTATTATTAGAAAATCAAGCTAGTTATTTGTAAATCAAATGCATTCAGAATTCTATGTTAATTAAATTATACCACATCCAGAGTAAACTTTGCTTTTCACCCTACTCTGAATTTAGCATACTTTTAATTTCGAATTCAATGTCCATTTACTTTACGAAAGTATAGCATTGTTTAAATAGTTTGAAGAAACGAAAGAAAGTGAGCGGAGGTTTAATTCGGTAATTCATGGAACTTTAAGCCTAGTACTTAGGACGGATTTTTTTAAGTTTACCCAAAACAAAGGAATAAGAACCTTCAGTGACGCTTTGCAATTTATTTGAAGAAACACTCCCAATTTTCTAAAATTCTATAAGTGAAATTGGTGTAATTCCAGTGAAGGTGTGACTTAATATAAAGCACAAAACTTTTCTTTCAAACCAAATTTCCGTCGTAAGAACCTGACTTAATTCTTAATCAATTTTTCAAGTGCTCAAAGGAACGTACCTCTCTCCAGTAATTCGACCTGACCAAAAAAGTCGTTATAAAAGGCGACAATTTCACGCTTCACGAAGGAAATTGCTACAGCGCTGAGGAAATCGAATGTTAACAAAATGAATGAAATGAGTAGCAGAACTAGCGGTAGAATCGCGATTTTTTCTGCATGTGCAATATTGACCAGCTCAAGGAGGATCAGAATTATGGAGACGAGAATGACCAGCTCGGTCAAATGGAAGGAATATAACAAATCTTTTCCCGCAGTGACGTGAAATCTTTGAGTGGACGAATCGTACGAATACGGGAATCTGACATATACACCGAATATTTTTTTGTAAATCTTGAAAACCTGGAGGTTTCTAATTCCCGTGTAGTCATGCCGGAATGTGGAAAATGATGTGGAAACTTTTTGGAAAATTGTAAAAGCTTGTAGTAGTCTCATTGCTCCGAAAGCATGTGCCTGACTGGTATAGCGTAAGTGTATCGTGTACGCGTCTAGTCCAATTTTTGTCTGGGCAATGAATTTATGAAAATTATCCTAATCTGGACGATCAACTAGTCGAATATTTGTCCGGTGCGAGCATACAGTTTGTACAAATTTGAAGGAATAAATTATTAAGTGTGAATTTTTATTGGTCAACTTTTCATTTATATATATCCAGTCCTTTGGATGTACATTAAATAGAGGAACTTTTTATCCATTTCACGCGTTTTACTGTAAACTGTGCACGTTCTGTACGCAAATTCCCCACTACGCTTATTTTAAACTAACAATTTAAGATTAACTAACGTCAAAACTTTTAGAGGCCTAAATACATACATACGCAGAAATGTAATTTAAAAGTCTAACTAGTTTTTCATACATTCTAACTTCCTTATCAATTTGAGGAAATTTAAAATTGATGAATTTATCCTCAAGGAAGGAAAATATGATGTGAACTTTAGGGTTGAATAGTTAACCAGGATTTCCTACGATTTTGTCATGTATGGATTGAAGTTGGCGAAATTAGTAATTGGTCTGGAGAAACAGAAACATTGTCGTGTAATGAAATATTAAGGTTTAACAAAGTTAGAGAAATTGTTCATGATTCTTTAAAATGTCCCGGACGAAATATTTTCCAGATACATACCCAGCCGGAAACAAGTTAATTCATTAAATACTTCTGGTTAGAACATTGCCTAAAACTTCCATTATTTTTGAAAATAGTCCACTTCCTGTTAAAAATATCCTCGTAAGCTGGTCACATTCTCCCAGCACGATACATGCCGTCGACTTGAATTCCACACTGGTAAAAGATTCGCGAATGATGACAGCATTTCTGTCGGGACTGATTAACACTAATAATAATAATACGTTTTATTGGTGTCCGAAATTTTACACACTATCACTTGCACACCATCATGGGCTATGACTTTTTCGTATGCATGTGACTATTCAATTATTACAATCAACCATTTTCCTTTGACAAGTCCTATGCATAGTCGAATCCCCCTCCAATATGAACGTAAGTGGTTCGGTGTGTACATAAATGATGGCGAGTAAGTAATTATGTGTAACTGATAAGGTGTGTACATGATTAAGTGTAAATAATTGTGTGTATGTATATAATGGTGTGTAAGTGATTGTGTGTAATTTACCGGTAATCGTTTTATTTATTCACTTCTTAAGGGGACAATATTTAAAACTCATGCACACTTCTCCTTTGTTAATTAAACGGATTTATCAATTTAACGTCATCAGATTGATCCATTTGTTTTGCATAGCGATATTGATGCATAATCAGTTGTGCATAATCAAAGTAATCTTGCATGCTCAAATTCATAGGGTCGACTTTTCTTAAATAGTAAACAAGTTAAACGAATTTATATATGCCAGTAAAAAGTAACGTTATTCCAGTCGTGTCATGTAAATCCATCCATAAGGACCGTACATAAAAGATGCCATCCATTTAAAATATATTCAAGACAAAACATCAACTACTTACTTACGTATTTACAATTTTAAGTTACTTATCACAGTTTCAAAATTCATAACCACAAATTTGTCACATCCTCACTGCACGGTGCATGCCTTCAACTTGAACTCCAGACTGGGTAAAAGATTCGCGAATCGTACCAGCATTTCATGACAGCTTCGTGAATCTAATGGCAAACCGAGCAGTGTGGTTAACATTGATAGGATGAAAGGTTATGTAACTACTGACTCATTTACCTAGTAAACTACACCACTCTCACTCAACCGCATCTGTACATTGACTGCATTATTTGTCTCGTGTAATGTTCATTCATCAGTTGCATTAAAGCCATGATGCTTACTTACTCTGCGTCAAGAATAAAAATCTCTCGGCTGTGTTTAACTTGTGTTTCTCTCATCTGGCCGGAATTTCGTAGAAATTTATATACCGTTGAAGAAGAAATAGATTTTAAATAATTAAGGAGCTACATACATATTTACTCCAAGCAACTAATTAAATTGTTAACAGATTCTTAAATAAACCCTTACAAACGAATATAAAAAAGTAGCGTCAGAACGATCGAAATTTCCTTAAAAATGACATCATATCTGACAATTGTGTATTTTTGACCCCTGACCTCGTCCTTATGGTCATGAGGTCAAAAATATTAACGTCCTTGAAATCGGGGTCAAATTTCCTTTAAAATGACACCCCATATGACAATTAAGTATCTTTTTGACCTGTGACCTCGTCCTTATGGTCATGAGGTCAAACATATTAACGTCCTTGAAATCGGGGTCAAATTTCCTTTAAAATGACACCCCATATGACAATTAAGTATCTTTTTGACCTGTGACCTTGTCCACAAGGTCATGAGGTCAAACATATTAACGTCATTGAAATCGGGGTCAAATTTCCTTTAAAATGACACCCCATATGACAATTAAGTATCTTTTTGACCTGTGACCTTGTCCACAAGGTCATGAGGTCAAAAACATTAACGTCATTGAAATCGCGGTCAAATTTCCTTTAAAATGACACCCCATATGAAAATTAACCTGAATTTAATTTTGGACCACACCCCCCGGCGCTGTGGGGGGTGGTCCGATTGACCCCACTTTCGAACTCGGCCGAGAACTAAAAATTAGAAGCAGAATGGCGAAAACCGCGTTTGATTATCTTGACTCGTTCTGGAGTTATCCTGCTGACGGACGGACAGACGGACAGACGGACGGACAAAACGATCACAATAAGTAGCTGACGCTACTTAATAATTCTGAAAAAGCTTAATTATTTGATCCGGCAATTAAAGCAGTCATTTGTGAAGTACGTAAGTTTTGTAGCATATTTTTTATATTACGCTACATGACTTGAAAAGTAAATTTGCAAATAATGTCAAACTTCGACTAAACAGAGTTAAAGTGCAGAATTTTAAGCGGAAACTCTTCTTCGTGGAAAACTTGATTGATTATTTACCGAAGTAATTCACGCAGTAATTGGTAACTCGTAAAATCTGTAAATTTTTGTATCATAATTGTACAAACTTCTGCAGAGAGAATTTACAAGTTTACAAAAACTTGTAGTCTAATATTTGCTTAGAAATGTTTATAAAATCTTGTAGAAGGTGGCATGGGGCTGTGCAGAGATTATGTGATGGATTTGAGTGGGATGGGGGTTAAGGCATCATATCCTTCCCATCCTAATTATAACATTGGGCGTATAGGCCCCACCGGGGGGGAAGGGGTTAAAATTTCCTGAAAATCGATCACATGCTTTATGCACGACCCCAAATTTTACACACAAAGTTTATGGATTTTACAATGTTATCAACTCCTGCGTGCAATGTGTCGGTATTTTATTTATTTATTTTGTCCACTTAATTTAATTGACGACTTTTGTAACACTGCTTTCTTCACGAAGTAAAAAAATTATCCGAAAAGGTAAATCATGGCAAGTTTTTCGTCCACTGGGAGTGAAATGAGGGGAGGAAAACGACCGCTTGAGGAGTCAATCACGGATAAATTTTTTCGCGAAGTTTGCATCGAGGCACGTGAACATTTTGAAAACGAGACCGAGTCATCCGTTCAGAAAAAGACGGGAACTAAGCACATCATTTACTATCAGCCATTCGTCAATTTTGACTTGGTAATAAAAAACGTAAGTGTTTGTCCAGATTAAGCTTTTAAAACTAGTTTTTAAACTTTAAGTATCGAACATCGTAAAATCTTTGACATTTGTGAGCAAACTGAAAGACATGCACATACGCAGTTTTTAAAGTGAACTCAGCTTGTAAATTTGTAAGTCCCTGAATACAAATATGCCAATTCTTAAAAGTGGAAGAGTTATTAAATTTATAAATTGCAAACTGGAGGATCTACTTGAAAATTCTTCACCCATGTAATTTTAAAAGCCCGTGAATTCAGTAATTTTCACAAGCTGTGATTTCGTTGCATTTTACACTATATTTAAGTATGTGATTTCTCTGACTTTCAAAACCGGTGATTCTCACACACTGTAACTTTTATAAATTTCACATCTGAAGATTTCGGTGATTTCAAGGATATTCCCAATCTCCGGTTTCTGCTACCTTAATACGATGATTTTTATGAATATCACACACTGTGATTTTCACACCCTATGATTTCTGTGATTTGCAAACCCTGTGATTTTTACACCTTGTGATTTTCACACCCTGTGATTTTCACACCTTGTGATTTTCACACCCTGTGATTTCTGTGATTTTCACACCCTGTGATTTTCACACCTTGTGATTTTCACACCTTGTGATTTTCACACCCTGTGATTTCTGTGATTTTCACACCTTGTGATCTTCACACCCTGTGATTTCTGTGATTTTCACACCCTGTGAGTTTCACACCTTGTGATTTTCACACCCTGTGATTTCTGATTTTCACACCCTGTGATTTCTGATTTTCACACCCTGTGATTTCTGATTTTCACACCCTGTAATCTCGGTGATTTTCACACCCTGTGATTTCTGATTTTCACACCCTGTGATTTCTGATTTTCACATCCTGTGATTTCTGATTTTAACACCCTGTAATCTCTGTGATTTTCACACCTAGTGATTTCTGCGATTTTCACACTGTGTGATTTCTGTGGTTTTCACACACTCTGATTTCTGATTTTCACACCCTGTGTTTCTTTGATTTTCACACCCTGTGATTTTTGATTTTCACACTCTGTGATTTCTGATTTTCACACCCTTTAATCTCTGTGATTTTCACACCCTGTGATTTCTGGGATTTTCACACTGTGTGATTTCTGTGATTTTCACACCCTGTGTTTCTTTGCTTTTCACACCCTGTGTTTCTTTGCTTTTCACACCCTGTGTTTCTTTGCTTTTCACACCCTGTGTTTCTTTGATTTTCACACCCTGTAATTTCTGTGATTTTCACACCCTGTGTTTCTTTGATTTTCACACCCTGTAATTTCTGTGATTTTCACACCCTGTGTTTCTTTGATTTTCACACCCTGTAATTTCTGTGATTTTCACACCCTGTGTTTCTTTAATTTTCACACCCTGTAATTTCTGTGATTTTCACACCCTGTGTTTCTTTAATTTTCACACCCTGTAATTTCTGTGATTTTCACACCCTGTGATCTTTTTATTTCTTATTTACTACAAACTACAAGGATATATTGCTCAATACGTTTAACATTAGTTCTGAATCAACAACAAGTTTACATTACGGCTACCCTAATGGTGACCAATCAAATTTTTTATTTCGCAGATTCCAACCGGTATTCCGACTTCCTTGCTGAACGATGTACCCGACACGACTCAACCCATGGCAACGACTGACGCGCTGCAAAATCCTCAGAGTCACTTCTTTTTCGAAATTCGAATCAATCCAGTCGATTGGGCTAGAGCATTTAATCAACTCGACTTTCTCCCAACCGTAAAATTCCTCTACGTCGCCATGCTAACGGAACACTGTCGAAGTGTCATCGATGTTGACCCAACAGCAAAAGGAAATATTCACGACTTGATTAGAAGTAAGGACGTAATTTTTAATCATTTGGAGAACGTGCGTGAAATATGTTGTCAATTTTCGAAAACTGTTATCTTCTTAAAAATGCATCCAAATTGGAAAGATTAAAAAACGGTTTTCAATTAGATATTTAGCTTCAGGCCAATTTTCGTAAAACCGGGTTTCGATTGTTCTGGTTTAAGCAGTTTTTCGAAAAACCGCATCTCAATGATTACGAGTTATTTTTACTTTTTTGCATGCGGAGCTTACATATGACGGGCACTACCCAGCTTTACAAAATCTCACAATATTATGTATTTACCTGCCAAGTAAATATCAAATAAGATTATGTATTAAAGTGATAATTAATTTAGGAGCTGCATTTAGGATGGATGATGGCGAAATTTGGGGAAGACAGCCACATCGATCCGTGGGCTTTTCCACTCGAGTATAGCAAAATTATGGAGATCATCCCCGAACCGGACGAGTCCACGGGTGCAATGGAGATCGACAAGATCATGGCCCATCTCAATCCTGACGAGTGTGTGCGACCCGTGGTGCAGCAAATACTGAAAACGCCAATTAATCGCGCAACTGATTATTGGAATTCGAACAGCTCCACAGCCGCCCGGGCCAAACTAGAAAAAAAGAAACAAGAAGACAAGAAATTTGACGACTGGTTCCGTCAATGTGTTGAATACGTGCCGAAAAACAGCGAAGTTCCGATGAACGCGGCACAAATAGTAGCGGCCGCTACGAGGAGCACGTTATCCAGTAACAACGACCAAATTGTGGTGAGCTTGTTTCGATAAGATTTTCTTGTGTATTTGGGGAAATTTAATTTTACTTTTATGCACTTTTAAAAATTATTTTATCCGTCCTCTGTAAATGCGCTTTGAATCCTAAATTAAGTAACCTATGTAGGTATACTAAATCCAGGGAAAATTTTGCTCCTTATCAAGTTATCGTGACTCCTGATTTTGGGCTTGCTTAATTTAAAATTGAAAGTGCATTTAACATTTAAAATAGTAATTTCGTTTACATGAAATGCTGCATTCTGGTCTTTAGGATGGAGTACAATTTAGCGTGGAGAACGAAAGAGGTGTAACTGCCAGGTGGGGAGAGGCATTCAAGGAGGGACAAGGATTAGATTATCCGGGGAAAATAGGCAAAATAGCTGCTCGACTCTGCAGCCCGATATTACGATTGGATTTTGAAAAAACTTGGATGGTTTTAGCACAATGGAGGATATTCATCCTCCAAAGCTACTTGCCATTTATCGTAAGCCAGATACTCATTAAAAGCACATTTCCCTCTTAGGGGTATTGATAGCTTGTTCGCGTAGTCTGGATAAATTCTAGTTTCACACAAACAAATCATTTATCTGGTAAACTTTGAAAAAATGTGGTATACATTTTTACGAATGTGCAGTATTTTTTAAATGAAAGTTTCAGTATGAAACTATCGAAATCTAGTCGTTCACAATTTAACTCTGCTCTGTTTTACCACCAGGTGGGGCTAAATTCTTGTACGAAAGAAGACTCAAAATTAACGGAGATAAAGAGATATTCGACTCAGCAACCGAATCCCACAACGTGTTCCCAACGAAGGAAGAATGTCGCATAATAAATGACGAGCTTGAGCTTTACGGTGTCAACAATGTGCTAGGGAGGCTGAGGCTGAAAGAGAAGAAATCTTCAAAATGCCGTGAAATATCAGAAGTTTCAGATCTAAGTATCAGAAGTAATCCGGCTGATTTGACCATGAGCATGGAAACTATCGTATCCGGTTACGTAGAAAATCCAAACATTATTACCTTAAATTATGCAAATAATGCTGCAAATAATTCGCACGAGGTAGTTCCGGTAGCGGCAAGCTCAAGCAGTGTTCCGATTGATGTTACGTTCCCTACAGAACTGGAACCAGTAGTGGGATTACCCAATGGTGAAAATCAAGTTATCTACTATCAACCGGATTAAGGGATTACTCCTTCAAACCTGCACCTTTGCATTCCCTCATCTTCGCAGATTGTTCACTTCGGAAATCCTGAGCTTTTTTCCAAAGTAGAGATACCGTTTGCTGCATTCGAATTGAGGAAAGGTGATATGCGAGGGATTGAACCGAAATTGTTGCTTGCTGGGTGCACTGAGGCGGTTGTGGTTGTGCTGGTAAGTGAAATCGAACTCGATAAAATATCGTAGCTTTAGCGAAATTAGGATACACTCGTAAAAAAATCCTATTGAAAAGTGTTTGCACTCTAATCAATTCTAAATTAAGTAGGCAAAACTAAATCCAGAGTTAATAACAAAATCTGGTTTAATTTAGTATAGCTGACGTCATTAAATTTCAAGCGTGAATTCACTTTTCAAAAGGGTAACATTATTTTTAAGAGTGCAAAGTTTAATGCGGTGGGAAGGAGGCATATTTTAGGCCAAGTATTAAAAAAATCTCTGTCTAGTTACAACAATCTCGTAACCTTAGCTTATGGAGCAACCTTTGCACTGAATTATACACTTTAACCAAAAGCGTTTCTTAATGTTTGTCTCGTAATGAATAAGGAATCCATATTACATACTTAATTATTATTTAGACTGTCCGGATAGAGAAGAAGGGGTTGGATGGGGCCTACCGGGTAGCTAAATCGAGGTCACACGCCTACTCTAAGGCAAGTTGGGCCAAAGCTGTGCAAATGTATGGGACATCCGGCCCGGTTGAAATGTGCATAACTTTTTTGCTGAAACAATTATTTCACAAGGACGAATTGAGAGATTTAACTCCTTCGGGACGAGAACAGAAAGAACCGGAAGAGGAAAAAACTGATGAAAACGGAACAAAGAAAAACGCGGATCGGAGTACATCTAAAAAGAAAAAGACGAACCGCAGTGGATCAAAAAAAAGATCCAACGGAAAGAATGAAGACAACGATGAGCAGGTGCGTGCATATATTAAAAAATAATTTAAGTTTAAAAATTTAATTTAAACAATCATTTTTTGATTTTTTTTCACCCTCTGCCAAACCTAGTATTTTTGTCAAGGGTAAATGCATGAATATGTAACGGTTTATAATTTGCAAGGAAGTTAAATCGATAAAGTGATGAAATTTGGATCGGTTCGCACGTTAAATATTTTTTACATATTTTTTTTAATTTAGGGGGAAGGGACGTCCGTACCAAAAAAAATCACTGGATAAAGGCAGACAGGAGCCTTTACTTGGTGAGGGCTATATCCCGAGAATACGCATTAAAATAACTTATGTATAACTATTTGCACTACTTTTTTAAAGATACGATTCGGTACTTGATGTGGGAAATTGGGCTGCCGCAATTCGAGATTTATCACCTAATGGAGAAAGCATTGACAACTGATATTATCAACGTGGGCACTAAAGTCATTCGAAAACGGTTGAAGAAGGATAAGGCGTACTATGACGCATTCAACTGGGAATAAATTTCGACCAGTTTATAAACAGGTTAGATACGTCGTTACTTTTGACATGATTTTTTTGTAATTTTTAATCAAATTATTTCAAACTGAGTTTTGTCGTGTTTCTTAGATTGTTGAGCTTTTGCGACTGGGAGGTTTCAGTGCGGAACAATTACTTGGAAATAGTAATTACCTATATACTTCGTAAAGCAATACTTTAAATTCAAATTTGGTGCCCAGGGGTTATATTTAATTAAATTATTATCCAGCTAAATACGTATTTTGTACACAACTGGTCTACATACATACATATGTATGTCATCGTTTATTATTCATCGACAAATCTTTCCAAGGAATGCATATATATGTACACTCAAAATCATTAATAAAACTTTGCGTTATTACTTGAATATATTTTTTTAAGTTGTACATATATAAATATGTACATATGTATCCATGATTGCATGATTTAAGTATCCAAGCAAGCTACAGCACGAGATAAAGATATCATTAAATTGTGGAATCAGAGTGCAATTAGGTGCTGATTAAACCCAAGTGTTCATTGCGGAATGCGTTTTTGGGATTGTGATGATACTTGTAAAAATGATAACTTTAAATAGTACACTATAAATACTTAAAAATACGTAAAATTTGCTCAAGGTTGAGCAAAAAAGAGAAAAACACAAAAAACACAACCAAACGTTAAAATGTATTTTATACATAATTCACAAAATTATTCCATCCAATGATTAAATTTTACACAAATTTGGCCTAAATTTTAATTATAAATATCACGTAAATTATCATCATAAATATCCCCATTTTAATTTTATGTATTAGTTATGGGTAGCCATATATGTACATATATCCTATGAAGCTGGGTATAACAAAATTTCGAAAACGATCCTGCATTATAATTTTTCGGTAATCAATTGAAAAATATTAGTAGGTGTATTTTTAATTAACCTTATTAAAGTGTGCACCATATAGAACCTTTGTGTGTTGTATTAACCATAATAAGATCCTTAATTAGCCATTAATTTTACAAATTAAGCAGACTGTGTTAGGTTCTCTCAGCCACATTTTGGTTGTCAAGGTAACATATCAAGCAAGAAAAGCAGATTGCTTTTAACGAGCTGGCATTGAATTTGAGTCGGTCAAGTGGTCACTTGAGATGATGCACTTCATTCACAAGAGAAATGTAAATATTTCGATTTTTTAAGCATGTATTTATTGAATTCACCTCTTTCACTTTAGTGGAATGGATGGTGAATTATGGACAGTCATTATATAAATATTTTGTTGAGGTTCTCGACACCTTACAATTAGTGTGTACTAGGGATTCGTTATATTCGCGTTATTCATAAATATCGTAAAATATATGGGTATCTGTGTTTTTCGAAATGTACAATTTTCTGCCTATCAATGCACCATTCCATTATTTACAGATTTTAGCTCCTAAATTTTCATTATTTGAACAACTCCATGAGTCCGTCGGTTTCACTGAACACATGCATAGTTTAGGATTGTACTTTATGTACACAAATAATATTTTCAAACTTTACACGGCGAAATTAAGAAAAGTAAATATTTAATTTCGAATCCATTACAAATATTATTGGGGATAATGTGCATAATTTTTTTCAATTAATCCTCAAAATATCCTAATTCTGTGTAAATGGTTTTTAACACTACGAAACCCTGATTCTATTTACACACCTTCGCTTTTTTAATGAGTGCATTGCCTGAAATTTATGTCAGGTGTGTTTGCATAAGAAAAAGGGGGACAAATTGTGGCTGATATAAGCTCGCCCAAACTCCGGGCAAGGACACACTTTTGATTCACAAGGATGGCAACCACGGTGGGTAGTTTCGGTGCAATAAATTCCCCCAAATTTCCCGTCTTGCCCCCACTCGAGCCTGGGTATTTGTTGCGGAGAGACAATGGTTTTATTAGGGATGAGAATTTGGTGAAGTTTTTGCACACTGGGGAATATTACAAGGATCACAAAGTTAGACGGAAATTAGGGAAACATGGAAAGTTTGGAGGCCAAAGACCCCTCCCACCGGCGCCGACGATCCCGCAATCAGCAGCAGATCAAGAGTTTGATGGTGAGTAAAAAAAATATTGTAAATATTTGTCATCGAATAATAAAGAATTTAGGTCATTTAAAAATTTGATTTTTTCACAAAGTTGTAAAGAATATTTTTGTACAATTGTTATCTGAAATTGAAAAGATAAGGGAAATTTATGGTTTATCGACGTGCACTCAGTTTTTATGAAAAGATTATGAGATTAATGATGTTTCGATAAAAGAAATTCATCTTGATTTGCATATAGTATTCGAGAATAAAAAAAAATGCACAGGACACTTTGTAAACTTTGTGAAATTTGAATTTTGGAAATTTTCAAATTTAAAAAAATTGCTAACAATTCCTCATTTTTATGTAGCAAGAAGGGATCAAAGTTTAATTAAGATTCTTAATTTAAGAATTAAAATTAAAGAGAGAATTTCATCTGAATTTTTAAATCTTTTCGCTGAACAAGTCCATCAAAAACTTTTTTTGTAAATGTTCTCCAGATTTCCAACGTGCCAAACTCTTCGGAACATTGGTCGCCATGATTGGCTCGTCCGGCCTGATCGTTCCCCTCCTAACGGCGGCCATCCTCCCCTTCGAACTCCTCAACCCGAACCTTCTACTCGCCAAGTCGCTCGCCCTGCTCGCCATCCCCGTTGGCGTGATGAGTTACGGTCGCTCTCTTAAAGATGACCACACCCACCGCGAAAAGAGAAGCATCGTCTTCTTCAACAGATTATTCAATCCTCCCGCCACAAATTTCAATTTAAAGAATGTATCCTCCCCAGAAAATTCAACCTTGGCGGGATCGACTACACCCACGACGACCACGATGCGACCAGTCTTATCCATAACAGCCGCGCCCCCTCAATGGCAACAACAATGTATTCAACGCCTCGCCTGCCAAGGTTTCCGACTCGAACCGCTCCCCGTATTTTTACTCAGGGAGACGCTCAAGCTAAGCGGCGGGAATACTGGGGCAGGAAATAGCTCTTCTAGTACAGTCGATGGCGGTGGCGTCGTCGTCGCCCGAGCGAACAGACCCCGCCACAAGAAAGGGTCGGGTGGGAAGAGGAAGAATTTGGCGAAGTATGCCCTCGGGAAGATTAAGGTGCCCGTTAAAAAGGGGGCGGGAGGATCTAGTTCTTCATCTGAAGTTCCCGAAATCCCGCCAGATCTGGAAGGCTGGTTTAACCCCGCGCCAAATCCGCCGATTACGACGACAACGCGAAAACCCAGGCCTACCACGGAGGCGGAAGTGGAGGTGGAAATGGGAACGGAAATGACGACAAATTCGCCCGATATGATGAAGGATGATATACTTAAGGAGGGTGCGACGACGAAGAAGGTGCCGGCCTTTTACAAAGTGAGCACGACCACACCCACGCCCAAGAAGGAGGAGACATATTACCCAACGCCGAATCCATGTTTGAGGTTTAAATGTGCCTTCATGGATTAGGTTAATAATTTATGTATAAATTAACGTGGTGGTGTTCTTATTTATTGACATGTTTAGATTAAAGCATAATAAAAAGCTTTTTGTGGAATACAATATACCGTACCTATGACTTACTGGTTAATTGCATACATAAATGCATAAATATTTACATATGTCAGTGCATAAACACATAACTAAGGGTGCATTGGACGGACTCGTACATTTGGGTCTATCTATTACATACATTTACACATGCAGAGCTTCGACACGTAAAACATAATGGTCAAATAATCAATGCATGAAGATATCAACGAGATCTTAAGGCTGGGTGAAATATTGTTTACTATTTGTGCATATTTAGTATCCTATATATATTGTTAGGATCACCAGACTAATGCGCAAATACGCTTCCCCCTATTTCAGAAGTAAATTAACTCTAATTACATATATACTATAAACTTGGTGTGAGCATGTTTTTAAGACATGCATGGTGTTGATTTAATTCGTTCTGACGTTTTTAGCCTCACACAAATTTACTAACATCAGCTCCAAGTCAAAGGAAATAAACCGTAGTAACGTTAGAAGTAGCTCGTCCTGTAATACTTCGCCGACAACATTAGTTGGTACATAAACTTCTGCACCAATGGTGCAAAATAAATCGACAAAAATGCATGATTTTGATGTAATTTTACACCGGTGGTAGAAAATAAGCGGACAAAAAAGATGCATAATTTTCGAGGGGTTTTGCACCAATGCAATGGTGGAGGATAAGCGGGGAAAATATACCCAGAAATTTGACATGATTTCGACTTTTTTAGACCCCTTTCGTGGGGATGTATTTCTTTGGGTTACTCTGCACTTTTGGTGCGTATTGAATCAATTCTCCCAATTGTTTGGCACCATTTTGTGGTATCGCTTGTTCGATAGGATTTGTGCTATTAATTTCCTAAAAATTGGACATGGGCCTATTTAATTAGCATCAATTGATGCAAAAAACTCATTAACAGACAGACGGACAGACAGACAGACAGACAGACGGACGGACAGGAGGAATTCAATAGCTCTAATGCTACGCAGGACGAGCTAATAATTAATCGACTTGACTTCTTATGTATTCCAACCTCCGTATGGACCTAATTGATTCATCTGCAGGTTTTGATTTTAGTGAGGGAATACACTATTTGCGGGAGTAAAGAGAAGCAGTCTTCGCTCAATTTGAGTTCAAATCTAGAGTTAAAGCGCGGGGATTCCATCGCTGTAAATATGCGTGAAACTGATTCCCGGATTTCGGAATTCTGAACGAGAGTAATCCAAAAACCACATTTTAAGGTTACTGATATCTATCTGTTGATGCCGTGAATCCATTATTTGGTTCCTGCATTAACAACAGGCGAACCGTGTACTTTGCGCACAAACCCAAGATAACCAGGGGTGTCGAAATTGCCATGAAATTATTCCCGAATCTTATCTTCATCGGGGTACATGACTTGGTAACCAAATGTCTCATCAAATTCTCCACCTCCTTATTACGGTTGCCACAATTAACGACACACGTCCTCTGAAATTTGATTACACATTTTGTCGACGATTTATGCACATATCCGGCAAACGTGCCAAATACAATGGTAAACATAGTCGAGAAAGCAGTAGCCAAAGGGAAGAATAAATTTCCGACGTGATCAAGTAACCTAGAGCCTAATAAGATGGTCAAACTCATTCCCAAAATGTTAGACACGACTATTGATGCGAGCAATGTGGGCAGACACACTTTACGCAGGCATAGGTTAATTTGCGCCACCAAAATGTCCAGCTGCTTGTAAATCTGTATGGTTAAGGTCAGTCTTATCCTTTGCAATGGGTGACCCGACCTATAATATCGAATATGAATAGTTAGCTTTGTAGGAATTATTCTTGTATAGCAATCAAACTTCTCCCAAATCTAACAAAAACCCAGGGGTTTTGCCTTTGAACACCTACACACCTGCCGTAGTCAGGGTAGTCGGGGTTTTGGGGAAAACTGAGTCCATACTTCGTGTATTAGGTTCTAGAAACGTTCTGCTTTTTCAGAAATTTTACAACAAAGAAGCTTATTGATTAAATTTTAATGACTAATCTACATATTTATAGAATTGTCAGTAACGCCCTACTACTATAATTAAATACATTTGAAAACCCCGTATGCCAGTTCGTATTACTCATGTTTTCTACCCTAAACCCCCCCAAAACCCGGAAAATACTCGAAAACCCCTACCTGATTATATAACAAAGATGCTGAACCACGCAATGCAGCGAGTTGCACAGGACCGTGAACATAAAGCAGGCTACAGACCCAGCCAGGCAAAAGATTGCCCACGCCTGCGCCACCAGGATAAACACTAGCCCAATTTTGCTCGATGTAGACAAATAGTCGCTCCACTCAAATCCTAAAAAGGGCTTCATACCTCCTTCTATAAAGATGAGTAGGACTAACACACTTGGAGCCGCTATCCGCATAACTTGGTATAAAACGTTGGACAACTTTGATATGAATTTCCACTTTGCGACTAGATTTTCCGGCGGATCTATTGAAAGTGTGAATTTATTAAGGAGACTCAATACTGATGATTTAAATAATTCTTCAATACAGTGTTTATCTTATGACTTGATGGCTCATCAAAATCGTCAAACTCGGAAAAGTTTTCAGCTATAGAAATTTAAGATAGCGGATAGTATATTATTCCAGCTTCAATTGGTTCTAATTGTTCTGGAGGTTCCTTAAAGTTGGAATGTCGTTCAAAAATTGTCAAAATCTGGAGTGCATTTTAATAAAATTATAAGGACACCTTTTTCGAATTTGGAGTCCAGATTCATTAAATAAATTCCTAAAACACGTGGAATTATGCAGACTATGCAAACGTTGGCGATTTTGGTGACAAGTCATCAAATCCTACATTAATTTACCTAGCACGTTTCCATGGATATTGTCAAATACAAATTTTTGTCTTGCGTTTAGCAACGATACGAAAGGATCAGGCTGGATGAACATGGGAAAAACGGTTATCAATGATAAGGAGAAGGTAATTAAGACCAATAAGATGAAAGATGTCTCGAATATTTCTGACTTGGTGAATAATATCGAGTGCAACCCATTTAAACAAATTACTGTCAAGATGGAAAAACTTGCACCAATTTGTACCCAGGTGAATTTTGATGTAGGTCTTTTTACAAATTTATTTAGCCGTGAATCAAAATAAATTAGGTGTAGGTCAAAAAGATATCTGTAAAGTTTAGTCATTTCGGGTGATGCTTCGCAAATCGTTTGCTCGCCTATTGGAAGGATTATACTTGCTTAAAATAGAAATTTGAGAGGAAGTTCATAATTATTTACTAGAGGTTTTGACAGTTAAATTATTGACAGGTCAATAATCGGGACATGGTCAGTGTCATGTTCGTTTTTGAACAAATCAAATACGTATTTAAGTATGAGTATACGTATGTACTTCATTGTGAGGAATTTACATAAATGGGGGTCATACGTTTATCTCGTCATCAAAAAATCGCCGATTTGTTCCAACATCCATTAACTCATTTCCTACGTATTTATATATCCCGACAATTTAATACGAGTAAGAGGCGACTCTAAACGTCCAACTTAACCTTTTGATGACGTAATATATTGGCGTTCCAATGGGGGAAGCTTATACACTGTAGTAAAATCTAATAGTCACATACATACTCCGTACTTTCACTGATGTGGCAATAATTTCCTACCCGAGTAGTAGCAGCTTGTTACTTGAAAATGGAATTTAAAGCATGACTGCAGATTTCTCTGCGGAATAGGGTCAAAATTTTATTTTCAAATTAATATAATTTTTTTATACTTTTTCCAAGTATGATCTTTAGCCCAAAATTTGATTAATTAAGCTGATGACGTTGTAGAAACATACCTGCTTAAACTTGTTACAACAATTAAATATACATATTTAGGCAGCAATCATTCTATGAAGGGCTGAACTAAAAACCAAGAAAGTAAACTTAATTTACTGAAGGTTTTAATAATTCATCTATCTCTGATAACATGACCCTACTTTTGTTTATGTATTTAGCAACATTCGTCTAATCGTGACTGGAACTGGGATTCACGAGTGCGTTTCATTATACAGATGTATTCAAGTCCTGGAGAAATCTTACAACGCCTACATCACTCGCGGCCTTCTTCCAACCATGATATTTTGCTCTCCCGCCGTTCAAGTTTTCGGCCTGTTTGTCTGTATCAGTTTCCACGACGAGCTTGAGATGCCAGAGTTTCTCGTATTTCCCCTCTTGTTTGTCAATGGCGTGATAAATAACGTCGTCACGTTTACCATGGCGGCAGGTGTGCAAAATAAATCGTTCAAAGCTCTACTCGCCATTCGTCAGAAAATCGAGATGGCCCAGAGACAGCCAGTGGTGGCGAGGGAGCTTAAATCTTGCTCCGTAATGAAGATCCGTGTCACCGAAGGCAGTTGGGTCGATCGAGCCACGCCTCTCATCCTGCAAACGTTCTGCTTTAATCAAACTGTCAGCCTGATCGTGCTCCGGTCGTCGAGAGCTTAAATATATTTATCTTTCTATGTAAATATCCAATGGCTAAATAAAAATTCTTGTAAAAAGTAATCCATGGTAACTCGTGTTTTTTAAAAATTTCTAAGCATCTAGATAGAGCATAAATATGTATATGCATATGTATGTGTAAAGATAAATAGATATTCATATAATTCAATTTATAATGCGTGCATTTTCAAGTTTGAAAACTTGTGATCAATTCAAATCATCTGTTTATCGAAGTAAAGACAGTAAAGACAGCTATGTAAGGGTATTTAGTTATTAACGTTCCCAAAGTATGTTCCCAAAGAATCGGATGGAAAAGTTTGTGGGTATGTTTATCTGCATTTTTGAAAATGCAACCAACGGTCTCATTCTGCCTAATATCAACTCAGTTTTTCTTTTCCGTCCCGCGCTGGTATCCTTCCCATACTATTAGTATATAAGGGATACGAACCGGGAATCAAATTTTTGGTGAAGTAATTCTGAGTAAGTAGTACACGTCACTAGCGTTTACATTTCCCATCAATTCGGTATATAAATAGTGTGTATGTA